GGAAGCAACGGGATGCGGAGACATCCCCTCGGCCCCCGACGAGCCCCAACGCTTCCCAGCGGCGCACCGCCCCCAGGAAACTTCCCTGTCCCCGTAGCCCCTCCGGCGGTTGTAAAGTTTCCGTAGATGCACAGCCCTGCTGGCTACAGGGCGCCCGGCGTCGCGCGGTGCAGGGGCCCAGCCAGGCCAGTCGGGCAGGGCCCGGAGGCCACGCACAAAGGGACCTGTCCCCGCCAGTCGAGGGTCTCGCGCACCGCGGCGCAGAAGATGTGCGGGTGGGGCGGAGCTGGGTTCCGATCCCCAGCCCGACCCGGTCCAGACTTGGACTCCCAGCCAAAGACCCGCCCCGACCCAGCCCCTGCCGGGCCCTCACCGACAGCTCCAACCTCTGGCTCCCTGCGGACCCCGCCCTCCGGCCCAGCCTACCTGGAGCTCGGCGTGGGCGGCTCCGCAGCGCGGCCCCCGCCCCCAGACGGGTGTCCCCAGGTCCCTGAGCGTGCGGGACGCGGCGTCCCCAGGGCGCACTGCAAGGGGCGGTTCGCAGGGCCTAGAGTTGGATCCGTGCGGGGGCTGACCCTCTTGGCCCGGCGATCAGCCCCCGGGACAGCCCGCGCGCTCCTCGCGTGGCCCGTGCGCAAAGCGGCCCCAGCCAGCTACTCGGCTCTCCACCCCGCCCCATCCGCCCGCAAATTTTCCCATTGGTCCGGAGGCCCGGCGCGGCCCAGCAACCGGCGCCGATTGGCCGGGCTCGGTGAGACGCCAGCTTCCCATTGGGCCATCTTAATGTCCGTCCCGACCGATACCGGTCCCCTTGTAGAGCGGCGAAGGCCCGGCACCTGCCGGGACCGCTGCTGCGGTGGCTGTCGGGGCCGCGAGGCCGTTCCCTCCCTCCCTCCTTCGAGGACGTCCCCGGGCCGTCGGGCCCCGAGCAGGAGCTGGAAGGACTAACGCCCCCTCCCCGGATTCCGGCCGCGTTGTCCCCATCACCACCCCCACTTCGTAGCTATTCTTCGCTAGCACCTGCTGTTTGCCGAGCGCTTCTCCTGTCCACATCGAATTGTGTTCCTCACACAGCCCGCGGGGGGAGTTCTGCTGCCACCACCCACCCCGTTTGCAGGTTGGGAAACAGACTCAGAGAGGTTCTCACTTGCTATAGGCCACCGGGGCCCCGCTGATGCCTGGGCCCTGGGGCTCCCCCGCCTTCATCTCCCCAGGGTTCCCACAGCAAAGGCAGGAGCAGGCTTAGAGAGGCCGTCCTGGGGGGTGTCCTGCAGGGTTTCCAGGGCAGGAAGGGACCCCCTCGCTGAACAAGGGGTTTTTTTCTACTTAACAGTGGTTCTCAACCTTCTGGCCCTTTAAATACAATTCCTCATGTTGTGACCCAACCATAAAATTATTTTCGTTGCTACTTCATAACTGTCATGCTGCTACTGTTATGAATCGTCATGTAAATATCTGATATACAGGATGGTCTTAGGCGACCCCTGTGAAAGGGTCGTTCGACCGCCAAAGGGGTCGCGACCCACAGGTTGAGAACCGCTGCTCTACTATCAGGCCTGAATCTTCAGACACACTCAGGACTATCTTCCACCCCATCCCTCATCCCACTGCCACAGAGGAATCTGTGCCTTTATTACTCCCCTCCCTGGTGTCCCACTTCCTCCGCCCTTCCCTGGGTTCGCAGAGGAACACTATGGGGTTCTGCCACCTGGGTTGAGTTTAGCAAAGGTTGTATTTCCCTGCCGGGTGGAGAGCAGCCACCTGGTCCCTGCAGTGACACAGGGCGCACATGTGACCATGAATGGGACTATCGCCCTAGGCCAACCCCCCTTAACTCTGTGGTGTGGGAGGCACCAGTGGGGATGCTGCCCATTGGGGATTGTTTCAGAGGCCTCGTTCTTGGTTCTAGGCCTTTCCTGTCCTGGTTGCACCTGGAGAGGATGAGCAGATAGACCCTCAGCTCACCGTATTCCCCATGGCCACCCAGGGAGCTACGCTGCCCGCAACACTGCTAATGGAGGGACCAGACATTCGTGTCTTATCCACCCATGTCAGAGGCCAGAGCGTTCGCCCAAAGAGTTTCTTAGTCAGAACAAAGAAAGGGAAATGACTTGAGCTTAGAACTCACCACTGGTACCACCGTTGGGTCCCCATGTGCCTTGGCATACAAGGCAAATTGATCCCAGCAGCCTTTCAGAGCCAGGCAGCCACCACCAATCAACTGGAGTTGGCACTTAAGGGTGACATGTGGGGTTCAGGGTGCAGATTCTTCTCCCATGGGTCCTGGCCCTACGAAGTTTGAAGAATAAACCTGTGGACAAAAAGGCTTCTTTAATAAAAAAATAGAGAAGTTTATTGGAAGTATATACAAACTCCATCTGGGCAGGAGTGTCCCCAAAGGGGTCCCCCTGGGGAGGGGCCCCCAAATGGGAAAAGCCTGCTCTCTCTCTCTCTCTCTCTCTCTCTCGGGAAAAATATAAATCCAAACATCTAGAATCTGTATCTACTGAGTCTCTTTGTCCCCGGGTTTATAAAGGCTGTAGTTGTCTGAACCTGACCCTTTCTAATTGGACCTTTCCTTAATTTAGGACCCCCATACTTTCCTCATTGGTCATTCTGCTATATAGTATTAGTTTCAAAGCTCAAAGCCTACGTGGTGCCCTTCACATATTCATCTTATCTGTTCAGGTTGGAGTTGCTTTTAATCTACCTTATGGCTCTTTTCATTGCTCAGGCCAGAAGTGCCTCCACCCTCCCTGGACAGCCCCCCTTCCTGTCTGCCTAATTAAGCTAGCTAGCTAACCCTTATCAAGGGGACAGCCATTTGGCATCCTGGCACAAGGATGTTGCTCAAAGCTCTGGGCAGGCAGAATGAAGTGTCCCTCTCTGGAACACAAAGGCCTTGTTTAGCAAGATAGCTCTTTTCCCACGGAGCCACATAATCGGTGACATTCTGGCCTTGTTGCCACATGGGCTGGGGCATTTAGGAGTGGATTTAATTAGTCCAACATTCACTATAGATCTCACCAAGGGCCTTGGCCCTAGTCCTTCTGGATCCCCTCTTCTTACAGTGACCTTGTGGTCCAGCATCACCTCTTCCCTACACACTTGCTCATGGTGGCAAAAGAGACTGGACAGACTTCTGCTGAGATTATTCACCTAAATCAGCCCAAGCAGTCACCTCTGTCCCCCTTAATTCTTGACAGGCTTGCAAAGACCCATCTGCTCCTGAACTAGATCACCAGCACATACAGAGGATCAGGGTGGGCAACCACAGTTCCAAGAGGACTTGGCCACTATCCAGTAGTGGGCCCACCATGACCCAAGCTGCAGGTGGGGGTCAGAAAGTCAGAGAGCAGGAGAGATGGACTCCACCACTCATTCGCTGAGTACCAAGTCTCCTCTCTATCTCCCACTCTCTCTTCTCAGCCACTGGCCAGCTCTGAATGACATCCCTGGGGCACGTGAGGAAAACTACAGGGAGGAAGAGGTTTAGATAGATGTCAGGAAGAGCTTTCCAGCAGTTGCAGATGTTCAGACACCAAAAGCATGGCCACATCAGGTAGTGAGCTCCCTGTCTAGGGATGTGTGTAATTAGAAGTGGGATGGTAGTGAGCCCCTTTGCAGCCCTGAGACTTCAGGGCTCAGATGTCCACCATGACCCATCTCATTGGTCTTGCCTGCTCCCTAACACCACATGTCATCCAGACTGGAGTCAGTGGTGACAGAACAGGAAGGAAGACTATGTCCGTGGGCATCTGAAGTCCTCAGTTTCCATGCCTGCAAAGGGCTTTTGCAGGGTTCCAGGAGGAACATAGATGAGAGGGCAAAAGAGTGGGGTGCAATGGATCTTAGGGGATGCCATGCAGGTTTGGGTTTGTCTCTTGCCTTTGCTGATTATCGGCCAGACCCTTCCCCTTTCTGAGCTCGTTTCCCACAGGGCATCAGTGCTCTGAGTCAGGATCAAGGGGCCTAGGTCTTCAATGCTGGGCTGTGGAGCTGATCTAGCCACTGCCACTTACCACCGTTTCTAAACTTCAAGCCAGCGACTAACTGCTCTGAGTCCTGGTGTCTGCATCTGTAAAAGGGGATGAATGAGAGCTGTGTACTGAAACACTCGGTTTAGTGTTTAGCACATGGTTATTATCCTTAATATAAGCGTCATTCTTGTCATAGTTTGCTGAGTGCCCACTTTGGAGCAAGCTGCCCTAGGCCTCTGATTCTCCACTTTCCTTACACTCAGGTGCCCCAGGCAGTGGGGCTAGGGAGCCCAGTGACTGCCTTTGTCCAGTTGGGAAGGCCCCATTCAGTGCCCTTTCCTGGCCTCTTGCTCACTGGCTCACCTAGTACAGATCAGGCGGGGCTAGCCCTTCATCCTTGGGGCCTGGACCTGCAGAACAGCCTCCAGGGCGGGCTCATAGGCTATGGTGGCGGGATGGGGCTGGGATGCCTAGTCCAGGGTCTGTCCTGAACATGGGATGTCAGGGCATCAGGATTACAGTGGAGTGGATGGCCAGGTCCAGAGGCCCACAATGGATGGACCTGGGGGTGGGGGTGGGAAAGAGGACGACAAGGACCCAGCCTGAGAGGCTGGTCCGGAAGTGAGCATCCAGTAGTTAGTGCCTCCAGCGAGCCTTCGGGTGGATAGGTGGCCCATAAGCTTCTGGAGCTCAGGCCGCGGCCCCACGGGTCCTCGCGGGCATGAGCTCGGGGGCGGCTGCCAGCAGCTGCGAACTCCCGCGGGCGTCCCCAGGACCGGGATGCGTAGAAGGCTGGGAGGCCCTGGGGATCACAAGTCCCCAGACACCGCGCAGACCTGAGGCTTGGCGCAGCTCTGGGGGCGGGGCGCCGGGAGGCTGCAGTCCCCGAGCGACAGCGCAGGTAGCCAACCGTGCCCCAGGGTGTAGCACACTGCCCCGCCCCTCGCCAGGCAATCCAATGGCGAGCGCGCAAATGGTGTCAGAGGCGGGACCTGGGCGGTGGCGGCGGCGCGCGGGCGCGGCACCCGGAAGTCGGCAGCGGCGGAGGCGGTGAGTGTGCGGCTGGCTGCCTGGGCTGGCGGACTCAGCTCCCCGCGGGGCGGGCCTGGGCTCGGGGTGCTGGGCCCTGGAGGCACAGGTGCGGAGGGGCGGGGTGGTACCTCCCTGCCCTGCTTGAGTTTCCCCTTCCTGAGGCGTGGAGTAGAAATCAAGCGGCCAGATCCGGGGAGACCAAACCAACCCCGGCTGACGAAGGGCCCCGCGCCGTAACTGAAAGGCGTTTCTAGGGATCCCCGCCAGGGTGGGATGCGGGGGCTACTGGCAGGCAGGGCTGGACTCGCTGCAGGGAAGCAGAGACGGTCGGTGCTGGGACTTGCGTGGTCACGGTGTCGGTCAGCTACGGAGCCCTGAGTCACGCTGCTGCCTCCTTGCGTCCTGCTGCGGGGCCAGCGGGGTAACAGCTGATGCATGTCTGAGTAGGCAGCGAATGCTGGGTTATCCTTTCGCCTGGACAAGGCCTTCCTGGGGTGGCTCTGGGGGGTCAGACCCTCCCCCCAGGTCATCAGGGGTCGGGGCTCGGGTCCCTGAGCCTCAGGCCCTCATCCTCCAGCGGATATATCACATGCTGGGTACAGGCCTGGCTTGTCCTGCTCCAGACCTGCTGACCACTGTTTTGCTGCTGCTGTTTGGGCTCAGCACCCTTTTTGGTGAGGCAGATGTGATGTGGTGGCAGCTGTCAGAGGTGTCTCCAGCTGGCAGTGCCTTGGAAGTGCTTTCTCACACTTGTTTGATGGTCCTCTGGGCAACCTTTCGGGGCAAGTGTTCATTGACCAAACACTGTTCACAGTGAAGAAAACTCAGGCTCAGAGGCAAATGGTGTTCCCAAGGTCACATAGAGTCGGGGCTGGCTCCTGGTGCCGCTGCTCCTTCTGGGTCTCTCTCCCAGGAGCCTTCCTGCATCACGTGACCTGTCAGGTGGCAACTGGAGAGGATGGCTGTGCTGTGTAGGCAGGTGGACACAGCAGAGCCTCTGTCCGCCTCCAACCCTCTTCTCCAGGATCCCAGCGTTCCCGTGGGACAGGGTGGTTTGCTCTAGGGGCTCCCACCCTCAGGCCCCTGACTATTTAATACCCCAGTCCTGCAGCTTCGTGTTCTGATGTGTCCACAGACTGCAGGACCTTCAGACCAGGCCACCGCCTGCTCCGGCGTGTGGTGATGATAGTCCTTCCCTGAACGCAGGCAATAGGCCAGCCCCTCTGTTCGGCGGCCCAGCCCCTGAGCTGCTATTACTGCCCCATGCTTCCTTCGTGTTTTCATTTGATGACTCTCATTTTGGCTGTTTCCCCATGGGTGCAGCCGTGTGCTGTGTTCTCGGACCAGGCCTCCGGAAGAAAGGGCAGGCTCTCTGAGGAGATGAGGGGACCCCAGAGCCTGTCTGGAGAGAAACAGCCCCCGGGGCAGGGAAACTGGGAGGCTTCTAGAACCGGGGCTATGTTGACACTGATGCTCCAGTTCGAGAACAGAGTCCATCCTTCGCTAACGTATCCGTCGGCATGTGAGGACAGCACTGCCGAGCCTGGCATTGGTTGGTCTGGACCGTGGGGTTCGATGATGGGTTCTATGAAAATAGGCCACCCCAGAACTACTGAGCTGCCCTTTCATATTATCAATGCAGCTTTTTCCTTTCTCTGTCAACCTTCTATTTATTTATTTATTTAAATATATTTTTGTTGATTTCAGAGAGGAAGGGAGAGGGAGCAATAGAAACATCAATGATGAGAGAGAATCATTGATCAGCTGCCTCCTGCCTGCCCCATACTGGGGATCGAGCCCCCAACCCCGGGCATGTGCCCTGACCAAGAATCAAACCGTGACCTTCTGGTTCATAGGTTGATACTCAACCACGGAGCCGGGCTCAGCTTTCTTTTTAGATTGCAAAATATATGCACACTTAAAAGTAAAAAACCGACCTCCATCTCCTGGTGGCTGCTTCTCCTTGGGTTCATCTATTGAGGTCTTCAGGACCATGCCAACTTTTAGTGCTTGCTTTCATCCTCCTTTGAAGGGTTGGTGGGGAAGGTGGCCCCTTCCTCCTGTGTTAACCATGTAGGCAGGCCACAGGGGCCACTGTGAGGCCTGGCTGGCTTGCGGGGAAGCGAGGGTTCCTGCAGGAGAGGCCGAGGTGCAGGGGCCACCTCGTGACTGGAGCATTCCTCAGTGCTCACCTTTGTCCCTCCTTTGTGCTGCTCCTTTGAACTGTGAAGGGACAATGACACGTGGTGTGAGGCTGAATCAGTGCTCCCGAAACATCTCAAAGATCTTAGGCGAGAGCGTATCACTGTAGAACATTTGTCATGGTGACATGCCACTTACCAGTCAAAACGACAAAGTGTAGATGGAGGAGTCCTCAGTCCCCGAGTTGTGAGGAGGGTGGAGCACTGCAGCAGGCCGGCTGCTTAGAATATTTACCGACGTCAGGGCTTTCTCAGCCAAGGCCTGGGAACAGCGACACTGTGTACCCATGTCTGTTTACCTCTTCTGCTGGCAACCGCTAGGAGGACTTCAGGCGGCATGTGAAAAGAGCAGCGAGCCTATGCTTTCCAGCTCTGCCCCTGGGAACCCTTACAGGGTGGGGAGGAGGTGCCTGGCTCTGCAGCCATCATGCGTGAAGCCTGAGCAATCCCATCCTCTGCACGGCTCCTCAAGGCTAGAGAGACAGGCTGGCTAGACTTAAAAATGTATTCCCAAATGTGTAACGTGCTCGGTGTAATGAAATTGGACCTGACTCTAGGGACCAGTTAACCTCTGTCCAGAGCCTTAGCGTGTGCAGCTGGATAGGACACTGATTTTTAAAAAATATATACTTTTTATTGACTTCAGAGAGGAAGGGAGAGGGATAGAGAGATAGAAACATCAATGATGAGACAGAATCACCGATGGACTGCCCCCTGTACGCCCCACACTGGGGACGGAGCCCACAACCTGGGCATGTGCCCTTGACTGGAATCAAACCTGGGACCCTTCAGTCCACAGGCCAATGCTCTGTCCACTGAGCCAAACTGGCTAGGGCCTGATTTTTTTTTTATGCTGATTTGATGTGAACCGGGAGATTCACTTTCCTGAGTGTCTTGCCCCGTTGGCTCTGTGTTGTGGCAAAAATAGCTCGTCATTCACTGGCGTGCGTCATCTCCTACTGGGGATGTGCTGCAACCCAGGTACATGCCCTTGACCG